ATAACTTTTAAATATTATCTGTGTTTAGTCGCGTTAATAAATCAATATTTGTCTAATCCCTTATTCAACTGATAAGTTTAAAATAAGAAATTAAACTTTTTAGAATGTCCAACTGGTGCTCGCGAGCGCAATAATTTTTTATCGTACCTAATTTTGCAAAGTAAATTGGTTAAGAAGTAACTGCTTGTTAATTTAGGTTCATCACTTTACGTTATTATTTTCATTGCATTGTAAAGTTAGTTCAATTTAGCTGTCAGATGTTAGTTGCTTTTAAAAAGGATCATTTGTAAAGAAGATTGCTCAAATTCTGTTAATAACATTGGTTAGAAATTCGTAACCAATATTACAATCGCATTCGGCTGATTTATGTTGGCTACTCGTATTAATAAAATATATTATTTAAAAATGATGAATATTTACAATTAATTGAAATTAATTTACAAATAAATTAATATTTCTAGTTTACAATAAGAGTAACTAAATAATATTAAAATTCAATAAATATTCATATTTAGTAACCCAATTGCCTTATATGATGAATTCTAAATATTTAGGTAAAACGACCGGTTCAGTTAGCGTGGCCCTGTGACACACAAACAGACAGCTTTTGTGTGCATTTGGATTTAGTGTAACGGTGGCCCTTTACACCGCACCACAAACATATACAGTTTGTCATTTATTTGCGTACTTATTTAAATTAGTTGAACATATAAACTTAGAATAATAAATTGGTATTTCTGGTGTCTTAAACTATCGTTTTTACATAGCAAAATAAGACATTTAATTCGTTCCTTCTGGTTATCAATAACACAAGTGAGTATAGTTTGTAGGTTTATGTGTCTGCGCCTGTATACTAAATAAATTTGAGAGCATCGCACGGTCTGATTGTTGCGGTGCGAACGGGACCAGATGATGAGATATGTATGCTAATCGGCGGATCGTGGCCGCGCACAACCACCTGGTCGACACATTCGTCTATAAAGATGCATACAGAAGAAATTACTATAATAAATAGTGAAATGTTTTTATTTATCTTTAGCAATATTCGAAGATAAAAAATGTAACCTTACCTTCTTACATCATAAGACTAGTTAGAATGAAACGGATGAAAAACAATTCTAATTGAAACTCGTAGCTTCATATGCATCCTGTATTCTGCACTGTAGCAGCGGTAGACTTTGTGGCGGGCTGCAGACGATCGCGCGACACGACTGCACAGAGCAACAATTATACAGAGAGATACAAACATTTTAATAGATCATAATATACATTTCTATAAAAGTTTGCTTGCTTGCTTATATATTCGTCAAAAATAACAGTTTTCGCCGATATTAAACTCATATACATGGCATGAAGTATCAGAATGTTTTGCATTCCGTCTGATTAGAAGTAACTTGTAATCTCTTCTCTATTTTCCTAAATGGTTCAACATCTGATGCACTGTTTTAAAATTGGGGATTATCGATGTAGTTAATGATATTTGTCTTGCGCTGTCTCTACTATTATCCTAACCTACATTCATTCACCGTATGTCAGCAGGTTTCCAGAGCCATTCATGAAGTAAATTGATGACATTGTCGGCCGCTAGATGGAGCGATTGGAAGACGTTGATGGTTTATGAACAACTCTCAAGTTAATAGATCATCCGGAGACAATATAGACATTTGTCAATAGTAAACGTAGACTGGACATTTGTTAGTATTGAAATGATACTTTATTGATTAAAATAAACTTAGCAATAAGAATTATATACCAAGATACGTTTTGCTTCATGCGTAGGACTCTAGCGAAAACTTTGAAAATAAGAGAATAGTTTAGCATAAATCAGTATATTTTTAATATCCTCAACGACATCACAAAGTGATTACGATAGATGAAGGTAAACAATTTAGAGCAGTTTTGTCATTAGTGAGAATTATCATTAGAGCGGACTCACACGAGCAGCGCGCGCTGTCATTTCGACCGCCATCTTGGCAGAGGCCACAAGATGGCGCGCGTCGCGGAAGCGAGTCGCTGCTGCGAATAATTTTCCGCGTCCGTGGCCGCGCGCCGTGAGCCGCCGCCGCCGCCGCCGGGTAACTGTTAATGTTTTAATGGGGATGCGGTGACGGGAGCATCGCTGCCACAGATTCTAAACGCTTCTGCTGAGATTAGAGTTCATTAAAGTAATCGTTTGTCCATTAATAGTTTAATCTGTATCGAAGCTTTTAAGCTTGATCGAATCTTGTGGTTTGAATGGTGGCTTATTAGTCTTACAACAGGTAAATGCGGTCTCTGTTTAGCTTTCTATAATTTTAAAGTGAAAATTAAAATATATTTCAAAGTCTAATTTAAGAGTATTAACACACATGGTAGTAGCACACGTGGCCTCAGGCCCGCCCGGAGATAATTAACTGCACAACTGGACAGAACGCTAATCACTAACCGTTAAAGTAACTCACAGCCGACCAAGTCTGTTATCATAACAAACCAGGGTAAACATATGATTAGACTGCAAGGAGACACAAACTGCAACTTCTAACTATATCACCATACAGTTATGTTTACATTTGGCACAAACAAGATAGTCAATATTGTTGTCATGGATGGCATTTTAGCTTTAATTTAATTTTCAACTTCGAATAGAAAGATACTTAAGATCTTCTTTCCTATATTCAAAACTCGTTCGTTATTATTTATGTCGTTAATAATAAAATCTCACAACTAGGGTACACCTGGTCACCCTATTGATAACTAACAGTTACAAAATACTAAATAATGTAATAAGCAATACGCTCTTCCTTACAATTACCTCATTTAAAATAATTTTCCTGAACACGCGCCTTCGGGAGTGGTACATCACCACGACAAATGGAACGAGTTTTATCAATTACTGGATGGTTGGCGGACTCATAATAACATGATTTTCGCTAGTAGCTTGCAACTAGCCGCTTGTCCCTTATCGCTTGTCGCCTATCACTTAAGATGTGTTTCTTCCTACCAATAGCTGATCAGTTCTCGTTTGTCGCTGGCTGTTTGTTGCTAAACGCTTGCCGCTTCTGGTTTTGCGCGTACCGCTTCTCGCTCATCGCTTGCCCCATTGTCCTCGGCTGTTTTCTTACCGCCAACTAATGCCGGGCGGCCGTACTAAATTGCTACAAGGAAGCGATGCTCCGATATTTAATATAAATCTTAAAATGAAAGGTTGTTTGTTTTTCCATTACAACCTTTCATTTTAACCTTTATTAATAACGGTTTTTGTGTTTCTTGTTTATCTCGGCAGTTCTAACTTAAACAATGATTGTTAAATTGTTAACTTCTCCAAAGAGAAGTATATTACTTGAATTGCATTCCATAGCCATAATAAAAAGGAAAGCTATTAAAAATATTAGGTCATATTTTTAGAAGAAATAATGATTGTCCTCGAGATTATAATACTTAATGTACTGCGCGGGAAGTTATGAGGTCAACACATCCGCCAGATCACCGACTAGTTCTAATTTATTAGCACCTCTCCACACGCGCGACTGCGCACGCACGCGAATTGTGTGCGATTATCATAAAGAAAGTGGATCCGAGCGGCCTTATCTACATAAATGCAGACAATTTACCAATTTGTACTTTTACTCTTCGCTTATTATAAGGATACTAGACTAATAATTTATATATCAGCTTCCCCTTGAAAAAATCTGTTTTGCAATTGTAAAAGACGTTGTTTAGTTAGCCCATAAAACATAGAACAACTAACATGATTAAATTCATTTATTCGATATCAACAAAGGAACTTTATAAAGCAACAAAAAAATCTTAAAATTAATACGGAAACTAACTTGAGACCTTCTGTTTATACAGAAACGATTGAACGGAAACGCACAGGAAATACTGATGACTGCATTAAACACACGTCTGCTAATTCAATTTGCAGATGCCTCCGCCTCCGACCACGACCACGACCACAGCATTGCGTACAGAAATTAACACATCAATAAATATTTGCGACACGTTCGAACACGTTCATTACCATCTTTTGTTGATTTTTAAAACAAAACACAACGCTTTCACGTTTCATCATTGTTTATTTTATTAAATTAATTTTATAATTTATATCTATGTCGTAATGCTTGTATACTAACATATTGTCATCTCTTTCATTATCTTTGAATATAACAGAAACAACAATATACACGCGTTGCTTTAAACTTCGAAGCAACTCAATTTAAAAATAATTTGTGAATCTTTAAGCTTATTATTCAACTACATTAGTATGTTCTTTACTTTGTTATGTTGAATCGTTTGTAGTCTGAATGCGAAATACAAGAATTCTTTCAAAGAAAACGCATTGTTACTTTGTAATTCTTGCAGAAAACTTTGTTACCACTCGTTTGTTTTACGGTTGGCTTCCTGCAACACATTAAGACCACAATCGCGGTTTATAAACCAATTTATAGTGTGGAGTATCGACTATCAAACGATTTTATAGAAAATAAAGTGAAATTTTGTTTACAATACATTTAAAATCCGTGATCCTAATAGAAAAATTTAAATTTAGTCTTTAAAAGCTGACTTAAATAAAAAAACTTATCGAATAAAATAACTTATGTTTTTTAATCTTATGGTTTTTCCGGACCGCATTTAAAGCTTATCAACAAGAATCTGCGCAGGAAAAGCTTACTATTATAACTATATCGCGCAACAGCGTCGTGTTTCGTCTGAGATGTGAATAAACACAACGGTTTTACGAGTTGTTTACGCGCGGGGCTTGCGCGTGCGCATGAGCGACGTCGGCCTTGACCCTGCGGTCACGTGGTCACCGCCACTTTGCACATACACATTACCTATATTTGTCAATATTAAAAAAAACATTAAAAATGTAAATATACAGGACTTTCGTAATATTGTTTCCGATTATGTGCTTGCATAAAAAATTACATGACCCTCAAAGTTAAATTGGAATACTTTATCCAAAATGTGTACGTAATTATTTTAAGTTTTACTAACATATACTTTTTAATTGTCACCAGATGAGGCTGGGTGCGTGAGGGCGCAGCGGCATGGGGCAGGCGGGCAGCCAGCCGGCCGCAGCGGGCCCGCAGCGGATACGCCGCGGTGATGCGCTGCCGCAAGAGCCACTGCGACTCGCACCCAAGGTAACCGCTACACATCACCATTATAACTAAAAGAATAACAATATTGAAAGAAAGGACAGTTTCCTCTTAACTAGTCATTTATTGAAATCATATATGTATAGGATAGTTATTAATCAAATAAATATCATACCTTCCCAGTTGCGTTACCACTGCTAAGAAGCGTAACTAACGTTCCAGGTGCTCCCCTCGCTGCCAGAGTCGCCATGCCTGCGCAGCACGGACAACGGTGCCATACTGCACTCCGGCGGCACCATCAGCGGCCGCAGACCCACCTCCGGCCTACAAGAGAGCTGGCGCTCACACAGGTTCGGGGTAAGAACTTACAGACAAATGGCATAATTAATACACTTATGGTATAAGGGAAAACTTATCTGCTTTAAATAATTTGTTCCAGCACCCGAATGCGTACAGATCCCGGTCGGGGGGCGGCGTAGGGGGTGCCGAAGAGACGCGGTCTAGGGAGCGCGACCCCCTGCATCGCTCCTACACTAACCTCGGATACAGGAACAATGACAGTCAGTCCATTTTCAAAATAAGGGAAATTAATGTACGGAGATACGTCTATATTAATATTGAAATAATTTTCAGATGGCAGCATAAATAAACGGTTCGGCTCTGAACCTGACTTGAGGATAGAAGATCAACAAAAACAAAAAAGCAATAATAAACATTTTAGAAAAAAATATCGAGCGCCTCCGCCGCCTAGCTACGTAAGTGTTATCAAATAATTGATTGGACTATGATATTACTTACATTCAACTTTACAATTTGTCATTTTAATATTAATCATCCTTCACTTCCCTTGTTTTAGCGTCACGATGCTTCCTCTCCCGATTCAAGTCTTGGAAAGGCGAGACCGGAACCCCAAAGAAAACTCAGATTATTCAAAACCAGAAATGAAACCAAAAAGACGAACGGCCACCAAGACTCGAAAATACCAACATACAGAAACTCTTATACTGATTTCAAATCATTGGACTTGAACGATCAGTCATTCGAGCGAAGATACAAGTCTCCTTGCAAAACTAAAGACCAGCACCTTAAATACCCTGACAATAAGGATATGATGCAGAGTTCGGTCTCATTGAAAAGAGAAGAACGGTTGCTGCAGAACAAACAGGAGGCGAGACGGACGAGAACAGATGTGGTAAGCGGCTGCAGAGCCAAGACATCCAAAAGTAACGACCAGAGTGAAGCGTGGAAGACGCCTCTTTTAATGAGAAATTTCAGATACTCTGAGAGATTTAAAAAGGATGACAGCGATCATCCGACATTAAGAAGAGAAAAAACTTTTGATAATTCTCTAATCGAACAGGATAGAGATAACGATGGACCGAATAAAGTGTTTGATAAAGGTATAAAGTCTGCAGGAGATCAAAAGAACGGCAAAGTTAGTGCACTGGCCGATAGAAACCAGCCACTGAGAAAATCTCTTCCTTCATTATTACCAAGAAATGAAGAAAAAGATGAATTTCAAACGGAACTCAAAAAGGCTACAAATAGAATAAGAAACGAATTAGGAAATAAAGTTAATTTAAGTGAAAGCAAAACTAGTCAGCTAAATAAATTCAGTATAGAAAAACCGAACCCAACGAAAACCGCAGTTCAGGCTAAAGTCAAAGAATCTAGTCTTAAGAGAGGCGTCGCCAGCACAAAGCCGGATGCACAAATCACGAACAACCGAAGGCCCTTAACAAAGACACAGGATGTTAATTCTAAATCGATCCCACAGAGCAAAATTACTAAAAGTAATGAAATCAACAAATTTAAGCTAAACACAAAAGAAAACAACAAACCGATGCCCGACAGAGGACAAGCTTCAGGGAAAGAGTCGACGCCGGAACATTCACCCAATAGGAAACGAGAATTCACAATGAACAACAAATCTCAGCAAAAGTAAGTATCCCTAGCAAATATTAAGAAAATTGTTCTGACAAATCTTTAACATTTCGAAAATATTACAGACAAAAATCGGCGCCATCTAAGCAGTTTTACTTTGGCATGATTGAAAGCGAGCAGTCAAAGCCGCAGGATCACACGAAGGACTTCCCGGGACTGGGCTGCCCTATCATCGAGGAGTTCGACAACTTCCACCTCATAGAGCAGAAGCTGCTCAGCTATCGGGAGGAAGATGATTTCGAGAAGTTCAACAAAGAATTTAGAGAAGACTGCAAATTGAGAATTGGTTAGTTTTGTTATGATTCTTGTTTGCTCTTTGTCATCAGTTCTTTACTAAGGTTTACTACTTCTCAAAAACGATGGCAACGTTTCATACAGTTGTAAAAAATTGTATTGCAGTGTCATCAGAGTCGGCGGTATCCTCTGAGGGCTCGTCGCTCGAGCGGTCCCCGGCTGCGAGGAGACGCGCGGCGGCGACACGGCGCACCAGCCCGCCCCCCGCCCGCCGCGCCTCCCCCAACACCGCCTGGCGACACCTCGTCAGCGTCATGGACAGTTACATCAAGTCCGGTGTGTACTCAACACAATCTAACTTAAGTGACAGCACGCGTTCAGCTTTTTCACTTACTCATAGTAGATACGTATCCAACAGATACAGAACCGTTGGCGGTGGAGACGAAGATGTCGGCCGACATATCCGCGGAGTCGTCGCCGCGCTCCGACCCGTCGGCCGACAAGTCGGGCGATTCAGGCATCTCCGGCGACCACGCGCACAGCGACCACAGGCTCGACTCCCCGACCAGGCAACACGTGGGTGCAAAAATAAAACTTCAATTTCCTACCCTGCTCTCATTTAATGTAGTCGACACAACATGGATTCCTCATATGAATAACTCAAGTTCCATTCTAAAATGTGTCAACGCCTGTTCAGCTGCCAGAGCCGGTGGGCGCCAACTGGACGCCGCAACAGGACCTGGGAGATAGCAGCTCGGAGGGCGCGGGCGCAGCGGGAGGCCGAGTGCTGGGAGATCTTCCTGCAGCAGGCTTACCCACTTACAGCCCGGGGGCGCAGCCCTTCAGCCTCTCCCTGCCGCGGGAGCTGCACGACAAGGTTGGCAGGCGGGTTGACGCGGCTCGTGCGCGGGATGTTAGGACACTTCACCAAGCTATCTGAGATTATTGCGATACAATACCCAAACGTGTTTTTCGCGTTGTCGTTAAATTTATGTAATTTGAATTACTTTGATGTCCCAGTTTTATTTGTTGTCAGCGTCGAGATATTCCTGCAATACGATACCATATTAAGAAACTATTGTTTGTATCTCAGATATGCTAAAAAACAAGATAAGCTGATATACTAAAATTTTGATATTATTTACCAAATAAATAACTAACAAACTAAAACCGCCTAACATCCCGCGCACGCTGAGGAGGAGTAAAGGGTAAAATTACACGCTTTCTAACACATCACTACTTTAACTAATCTTTGCACTTTTAAATTGGGTCGGAGCTACGAGTTTATGTTTTTATGTTACTATAAAGTGCCTATTATTTTACTAACCTACTTATTAAAAATCACTTGCAATTTATTATTTAAAAGTTAGAATTAGTTATGCTACTTCCAACAATTTGACTGTAGCCTTGACAGACAAATTGTGAACATATTTTCTAAGTAGTTATCTTTATAGCAGTGATGGTGAACCAATGGCACGCGACATAATATTTTGGGTACGTCAGTGAACATAAAATACATTAAGCACTACGAAAATAGTGTGACATAGTTATTATAATATGAGCCCACGCTATGGAAAGCTCTCATTTACCACAAATCGAAAATTGTCTATGATCTTATTAAACATTTTCTTTAGATAAAAGGTTCGCCATCCCTACTTTATACAAATGTCAAAACGAAAAACATAAATGTTTTCCGGCAGAAACAATTAATTTCCTTTCTCTGTCCTCAAGTTTCTGCATATCAAGAAATTTCACACTGAACTTTCCTGCATCGATGTTCTCGCATGAATAATTTTATCTTTATTCCTCATCAGCTTTATTATAGAACGTTGTATGCAACCTTCGCGTAGTGTAAAGGCGCGTCGTGCCTGTACGACTGCTTCCAGGGTAAACAGCTGCAGCAGGGCTTCCACAGTCTGCAGAAGTTCCGCAAGTCCGTGTCGGGCGCGCTGGGCGCAGCGCTCGGCGGACGCAGGTTCGACCTCGAGCACGAGCCCATGCTGGAGGAGCCAGAGCAGAACTGGTTCCTCACCAAGTCCGCCCCCAACTCCCTCAGCAACCCGCTACTCTTCCAGCCGCATGATTACGATGACGTAAAAGAAGACGATAGTAAAGAAAAGGTATCGTCGGTTTTCATAGTGTTTAGTAATAAAACAAATATAATATGTTAACTGTTTCATAAATGCTATAATGAATAACACAATTATTTCTTATTGGAAAATAAGAGAAGTTAATACATAAGTTGTGTTGGTGTATGCAGGAGGTCCAAAGCGGGTCATGGCGCGCGGGCACCTCGTACATGTCGTGGGGCGGACACGTCATGTATCTGCCTCCCCCACCCGCCGGCTCCCCCGCTGCGCCCGCACAACCACTCTCCCTATTGGGGCCTCTAGATAGACCCATCAGGTAACACAAACATGTTAAAAAAAAAGAAATTAAAAAGAAAAAGAAACTAATTACGATGGAAATTTTTGCCAATAAAGTGCATACAACAAGAATTAACATATTATTACAAGCTCGCATGCAGTGCAGAGAATACGAGAAGAAATGTCAGAAATCTGTGATGATAATCATGACCTCATCGCTTGTGATCCCACAAATTAATGTATCGAGGTATATGACAGGAGCAAGTCTAGCGGATGTCTGGAAGCGTCAGCACGCGCCGCGCGATCCGCCCGCGCCGCGCTGGCTGGCGAGATGCGAGAGAGAGAGCGTTCCGCCTCGCCCGAGCTGGCCCGCGCAGTGCCCGCCACCGTCAGACCCGTATCCGACGTGAGTATACATACCATTATGAAACAATAATTGTAATAATAAAAAAAAAAACAATTCATCGAAACAAAACAGTTTTTCAATTTAGAGTTTCAACTTTTATTAAAAAAAATCGCACGTGAATATGAAAAGGGCTTCCGAGTCCGTTTCTGTTCGGCAATTAAGAGTGTAGCCGAATATGTATTATTGTCTCGCACTGCATTATGTGAGGCGACATAAGGCCGCGAGTGCAGTGGCGGGAGGCGCGTGTGAGTGCACTTCCCACGCTCGCCGGCACAATTAGCGCGCTGCATTTCCGGAAATGCGTTTTTGGGCCGTGAGACTGCGTATGCAATGTATCCCGCGACGTCTTTACTATAAAATATATAATATGAAACAACTTCTTACTAACTCAGTAATATAAATGATGAAAATGACAGGAAAGGAAACCATTAATTGTAAACGCATAAGAGAGTGTAGTTGTAACATTTGCAACATTGGATTTTATATGGCAAAGGATATAAACGCTTGGACTTTAAAATCTTGATATGGTTCCCACAACATTATTACGAGGTCTTACCATCCGTTAATATTTATGTCACAATAGTAATTAAACTAAATGTTAAAACATTACTATTAATCAAGAATAAACAGACTTGTTATACCTACAACAGGTATAAAAAAGTTGGCAAAATATGATAAATGAAGTCTGTGTACATGTTAGATCTTCATTTGTAGTCAACTCTCGACCGCCAGAGGTCAGTGCCAGCATCTGACATGTTCCTGACATGTCATAGCATGAAGATCGTCCATGTTTTGTATCCCTTGACAACCTGATCAACATATTTGCGATGTCAAGAAAACAATGGAACTATGTAAACAAGATTAATAATCGCTTACACTTTCGCGGAGATTTTTGTAATTCAGTGCAAAATTCTCCACGATTATATTTGTTTTTTTTTGTAAAAAATAAAGGCAAAGGAGACATACAAATAGAGAATATAATCTTTACCACTTTATAAGTTAATACTAAAATGACCTAACATCAAACAATTATAAAATTAAACTATTCACATAAATAAAGTTATTTAGTATTCGAATCGTGTGTCAAGGTCAGGGATATCCTTGTGTGTAGCTGGCCTATTGCAGACAATCATGAGGTCACGAAACAATTTTAAAATATAACACGTATTGCCGATTAACTGGACTATAGTTACTAATAGAGACGTTAACTATGATTTATGGAGAAAGACTATTTTCAAAGTATACTTTTAAAATAGTGTAAAAATTATAATAAAACATCTATAGAAAGTTCCACAAAAAACGTTCAATTTAAAAATAATTATTTAAATATTATAAATTTAACGGATAAATAACACAAATCATTAGCTGATATATACTCGTATATTATCGCGACATTTTATTACTTTACTACAATAACGAGGTATTATATAATGACGAATTATTACATATCCTTGAATATAATATATTTCTATTATACTACTGCAAAACATTCAATATTATTCCAATCTCACGTAAATCTTACTATAAATATCTTGTTTACCTTAAAACTTATCGACTGCATACAAAAACCATTTGTAAACACAATATGCTAGTTGCTAATACTGCACACAGAAACTATACTTATGAGAATCTGTCTACTTTTGTCTCTATGTTGCAATGAACACCTATTGCCTACAATTTTGATTAGTTTTTCAAGCAACACAACTAAAGTAAACTTTTCATTAGGTATTTATTATTATATACTAAAAGACAGACTAATATTATTACTAAAAATACGTCTTATCTATTGAGTTCTAGTTAATCCTAGATTTATTAGTGTCTAAGCGTAATTAGCGACATTACGTTAGAGGGCGCCACTAAAAAAGTAAAAAGTTACTGGCACATAGTGGCGCCGTGATATTTTATTTCTTTATTTTATCGAGTAGTGTTTTGTTATTTTTTCAGTGTAAAAAAGAGTGAGTTGTAACAATGAACAGAGAATAGTGTTGTCTTTAATTACTTATGTTTGTTAAATCGTAGTGTGTTGTATATATGTTTTGTAAAGTTAGAATAATAATTTCTTAATAAACATTTAAGTGAAGAGTGTGATGCTTTTATTTTGAACATTAGTGTTGGTCTAATTAGCCTAAATAAATTTTGCCTGATATGACCAACCATAGTATATATCTGCCTTGCTATTGAAGCTTGTGTAAATATAATCAAAAGCCTGCACTTTCATAAGATATTACATAACAAATATCTCAGTTGTGCCTTGTCATTAATGTGATAATTGTTACTTAATATAAAGTGTGTCGTGTGAAGCTGTCTTTAATACCTGAGGTGGGGGCAGGGGGGTGTGGCGCCGCGACGTCTCCGCAC